ATCGAGTGACAAGTATGTTCATTAGAACCATTTGGAATAGGACGAATTTTATCTCATGACGAAACATGTCGCCTTCGCATAAGCTCCGGGCCTAGGGGACATGAGATTGCAGCTTTGTTGGTAATACTTCGTTGCAGCCTTCCTGTTATGATTAACAGCATGAGCAAAGAGTAGTAGATCACTTCAGTTTTCTGAACATTCAATTGGTTGGGTGTTCATGCTGACTGTGGTAGGAACTGAAGAATTTCAACAGAATAATTTGAACCACTAGGCATATTCAGTGGATCACTTCAGTCTGCTCCATACTATTTCTCGCTGCTGCTCCATACTATTTCTGCCGCTGCTCTGTTGTGAAGAGAGGAAGAAAGGAAATAACTCGGTCTGCTTAGTTCACAAAATAACAAATCTGAATCTTTTACATTTAAACTTAAATCTTCTAGGAACTGAAGAATTTCAACAGAATAACTTGAACCACTAGCCATGTTCAGTACTTCAGTGAACCTTGTAATGTGCTTGTATCATGTTTGTTTGAATTTTCATTGGATTGATTCTTCATTAGAGACCGACTCCAACAATTTCAGCTCTTAGCCAAACTGAGAACTGGACGTGGTTCTCACTCTCATATTGTGCTCTGAGTAGGTTTCAGGAAAGTGGGAGAAGGAACAATTGAACGTGAGAAGTAAGGCGGGGGATAATGTGCGGGAGTAGCAAAGACAGTGATCCCATATTGGCTGTAACCTGAGAAGATGTGTTCCCTCTTTCCCTCCAAAACTGAGCAGAAGCAAGTTGTACTGAGCAAAAGGAGAGCAAACAGTAAGCATCAACCCCGCGGTATTCCTTCAAAAATTTAAACTTTAAACAGCACACTTTAGATGTCTAATGGACAATTTTTACATCTGGACTCACTTCTGAAAACTCAAAATATTTCAAAATCACATACATACCATTTCAAGGAGGAAAAACAATAGAATTGATGACCGCCTTTAGGACTGACTGGCAATGAGGCATAGAACTATCAACGTTCAGCAGGACCAGTGGTGTAGGCATCATAACTCAAGTTCGGGTCATCACCGCTGCTACCGATGTGGAAGCCGTTGTTTGTGTTGCCTCCAACACGCCCATTCTCTAGCTCGACACATTCCTGCAATTGTGCCACCACGTCGGTCATGGTGGGACGCTGCACCGAGGCTTGTGCAGTGCACTTGAGTGCGATGTCCGCAACCTTCCACACCCCGTTGACATCGTAACCACCACGCATGCGTTCGTCCACCACACCCTCAATGTTGGCCCGCGCTAGTCGCTGGCGCACCCACTGGATTATGTTGACGGGCACCGCAACCTGTAGGATAGCCGGCTTTCCTGTAACTAGCTCCAGCAGTACGACACCAAAGCTATACACGTCACTCTTTGCTGTTGGCTGCATCGTCGCCTGGTACTCTGGATCAACATATCCGGGTGTGCCAACAAATGTGTTCATGGATACGTGGGTTTCATTGTCATTGCTGAAGGCCTTGGACAAGCCAAAGTCAGCAATCCTAGCCTCCATCTTTGCGTTCAATAGGATGTTGGTTGCCTTCACGTCTCTGTGGATGAGGGGCGGGTAGCATCCCTTGTGTAGGTACTCTAGCCCTGGACATCACCAGACCAGCCAGTGCTTAGGTTCTTGAGAAGTGAGAACACTAAACATCAATAGCAAACTAGTAATATAATCTGGATCCACATACGTACCTTGTGCAGATTCAAGTGCGATGCGGAGTCTCTGTGTCCAAGTCAAACATGCTCCATTGCGGTTACTTCCTGCAAGTAGATTGGCACTGGAACGTGAATAACAACTGATTTTTTTTCAGTTCGAAGTGCTCAAGTAATAATATATCGCCTCGTAGGAATTCAAGTCTAGAGCTAATGTTTTCTCTGAAGAAACACTGAACAGTCTGAAGCTATAATGCTACACAACTCGCAGACCTTCAATGTGCTCTTGCAGTGTTCCTTCAGACATGTACTCATAGATGAGTGGCATGTACATGTACTCCCCATCCTTGCCGTAGCCTATCATGGAGACCAGATTCTTGTGATGAATCCGGGACAAATTTTGAGCCTGCACGATGTTCATAACTTATCAAATTTCACTCCTTAATTTCATGACACACATTTATGCCCTTGAACATCAAGTGCAGTGAAAAAGAATCCACCTCTTTGCTGTTGGCTGCATCGTTGCCTGGTACTCTGGATCAACATATCCGGGTGTGCCAACGAGCGTGTTCGTGGACACGTGGGTTTCATTGTCATTGCTGAAGGCCTTGGACAAGCCAAAGTCAGAAATCCTAGCTTCCATCTGTGCGTTCAATAGGATGTTGGTTACCTTCACGTCTCTATGGATTAGGGGTGGGTAGCACCCCTTGTGTAGGTACTCCAGTCCTGCATATCACCAGATCCACCAGTGCTGTTATTGAGAATGCTATAAACATCCAATAGCAAGCTAGTATAGTAATATAATCTGCATTCACATATGTACCTTCTGCTTATTCAAGCGCAATTTGGAGTCTCTGTGGCCAAGTCAAACAGGCTCCATTGCGGTTGCTTCCCGCAAGTAAGTTGACACTGGAACATGGATATCAACTCTTTTATTTTTCAGTTCGAAGTGCTCAAGTAACAATATATCACCTTGTAGGAGCTGAAGTCTAGAGCTAATGTTTTCTGTAAAGAAACACTGAACAATCTGAAGCTATAGTGCTACACAACTTGCATACCTTCAATGTGCTCTTGCAGTGTTCCTTCAGACGTATACTCATAGACGAGTGCCATGTACTCCCCATCCTTGCAGTAGCCTATCATGGAGACAAGATTCTTGTGATGAATCCGAGACAAAATTTTAGCCTGCACAATGTTCATAACTTATCAAATTTCAGTCCTTAATTTCACAACACACATTTGTGCCCTTGAACATCAAGTGACTGAAAAAGAATCTACCTCTGCGAGGAACTCCTTGACTCCTTGATTGGAAGAATGCGACCGCAACTTCACTGCTACCTGGGTGCCGTCCTCCAAGAAGCCGTCGTAGACGTACCCAAACCCTCCCCGACCAAGCACTCGCTGGAAGTTGTTTGTTATCATCTGAAGCTCCTTGTATGTGAACCGGCGACTCTTGAGTCGCAACGAACCATCCCCACAGACATTGTTTACTATTGCATAGCTCGTCGCCATCTCATTTTGCGGCTTCACGGAGTTGCTCACTGATCCTTCATAGAAAAGGGATGGCACGTCTGTTAGGTGTTAGCTATGTTCACTCATTGTGGAAAAACCAGAGAATTGGCGTGCTCATGCCAAAGCCTCACCTGGCTTTTTCCGTCTTACAAAACAAAAAAGTAGTACCACCAATGCTATCACCAGAATCACAGCCACAGGAACCACAATGTAAATGACCAACATGTTGCTCCTTGTAGTTTTAGCAGGCTGGCATGAATTGCCGTTGGCGCACAGGTTTGGATTGTTGTCATATCTAGCGAGAAATCAACATGTTTGGTGAAATTTATCAACTACTCCTTCCATTTCTAAATATAAGATTTTTTAGAGATTTCAATAAAGACTACATACAAATGTATATAGACGTATTTTATAGTGTAGATTCACTTGTTTTTCTTCGTATGTAGTCCATATTGAAATCTCAAAAAAGGCTTATATTTAGGAACGGAGGGAGTACTACACATGAGCTATGCAGAAAGGGGCGAACTTACCTTAGAATCAGGGAGCCATCTTGAACTCTTTTGAGAAGTCCAGAGGGAATTGATCCACTGAGCTGGTTGGCTGTACAAAATAATATTAGCATGACTCAAAAGTAATTTGTGGGAAAGGATCAAAATTTTACAAAACTTGCTCAACTTACAGAACAGTCAATGAAGTCAACTGCGAAAGGGCATCTGGAATTGAGCCTGTCAAGTTATTGTTTGACAGATACCTGAAACATATGAAAATAAAACTCTGAAACCACCTTTATTCAAGAACAGGAAAACTACACATAAATCTTCTCCAGAAAAAACTATAAATGCGGCCAAAATAGACCAAGAACTCCTCCTCACAAGTATTTGACAGCCTTGATATCTGCAAACGAAGCCGATATATCACCATCGGTGCCACTTGAGGACAGGTTTCTGCACGATATAAATAGCCCAGTGGAGCAGTTTCATGTAGTCATGTAATATACTCCAATATATCTCTGTTAATTCTGTCACCAACAAAGTCAGTACAGTACTACTCCCTCTGTACGCTAATGTAAGATGTATTTTGCTTTCTTATAATTCGAATGTATATAGGCATATTTTAGTGTGTTTGTTCGCTCATTTCAGTCCATATGTAGTCCATATTGAAATCCAAAAAGACCTTACATTTGTGAATAGAGTCCATATTGAAACCCAGCCTTTTTTACCAGCACCAAATAAACATGCTAGGATAATCTTCTCTATGCAAGACCAAGGGCAAAACAAATAACTGTTAACCATTAACCAATAGCTTATTTTCCATCCTCTATGTGGAGATAATCCATGGTAGCACTATATAGCATGTGAGCCTGGCTGGCCTTCTCTCCCTTTGGCTGTTGCTTTTCCAGGTAGGTGAAAATCGGTCTAAAATAATCAGTCATGTTTTCTCACCGTCGAAAGCAAGTCGTACTGCACAAAAAAAAGGGTGACTGGAACAACAACAAATTCCAGGCACCCGTGTCATAGACGCTCCCAACATTAAGACAGATGCTGCAAGATATTAATTACTATTGTGCACAATGATAGTAATTTACATGCTAACTGAAAGCTGCCGACGACACACTGAGACCAAACACAAAACAAAGACCCACTAGTTCACTCTGAGACCATGGAGATGAACACATCTCGTGACTAGAAAATTATTATCCAAGGGGAGATTTCTAACTTTTCATTTTCTTTGTCTTTTGCTTCTCAAGCACCAAATCTGAAAACAGCGAGACACATTGATGAATGATAAGAGGCGGCGATCTACTGGTCCATCCTCATGATGCAGCGCAGGCCCTCCCCCTTGAGCATGAGGTCGAACGCCGTGTTGATCTGCGAGAAGGGCACGCTGTGTGTGATGAACTTCTCCAGCTCCAGCTCCTTCCTCATGTACATCTCGACCACTTCCGGGAGGTTGGTGCGCGGCTTGTAGTTGCCGAAGAAGGTGCCTTTGAGGGTCCTCTCGTTGAGGAAGTTCATTGGGTAGGTCTTGAACACTGCCTCCTTGTGCGGCACGCCCACCAGCACGGCCACACCCCATCCCTGCATCCACCAGATTGCAACATTCAGTCTAAACTCTTCTAAAGCAGAACATGCGATTAATTATCGTTGAAGTGCAGATTATTTATAGTAGGTATAGTGCGGGTTACGTACATCATGGACGCATTCGAAGGCGGCGATCATGGCGTCGATGTGGCCAGTGCACTCGACCGCCCGGTCGACTCCACCATTGGTCATCTCGACAAGCACCTGGAGAGCATCATTGAACAGTGAGTTTTATCATATCTGAAGATTGAACTAAGGGAAAAATCTTTACTGAGGGACATGAACAACAGACCTCTTGCACGGGCTTAGTGTGGTCCTTTGGGTTCACAAAGTCTGTGCATCCAAATTTCTTAGCTAAAAAAATAATGTAGTACATGTTGTTAGGTTCAGTGTTCTATCAATCCAAAAACATTTGCCAACATGTTGTTAGGTTCAGTGTTCTATCAATCCAAAAACATTTGCCAAGACATCCTTGTTTTCAGACTATTGTACCTTGTTCGTATTTTGCAGGGTTCAAATCCACACCAATGATCCTTGATGCCCCAGCCATCCTAGCCCCTTCCATGGCCTGTCCATGTCAAAAGCATACAGTCATTATTTATGGTGCACATAATTCTCTTCAGCCTGAAAAAATATGGCGTGGAAGAAAAACTCACAGCAAGTCCTACAGCTCCAAGACCGAAAATTGCCACCGTGGAACCCTTCTTTGGTTTTGCGACATTGAGCGTGGCGCCAAGTCCTGAAGAGAAAACGACAACTCAGCAACTAATCGAGGCATCCTAAAGCATTGTGCTTGATTTGGAAACAATGGCATGTGACGAGCTATTATATCAGTCTTACCAGTAGAGATGCCACAGCTGAGAACACAAACTTTGTCGAGGGGCGCCTCGGGGTTGATCTTCGCGAGGCAACCAACATGGATGACGGTGTACTCGCTGAAGGTGGAGGTCCCGACGAAGTGGAAAATCGGCTTCCCGTTGATGGTGAAGCGAGACTGCCCATCGCCGATCATCACGCCACGATCCACGTTGATCCTGAGGAGATCACAAAGGTTGCTCTCCTCTGACTTGCAGTGGGCACAGTCCTTGCACTCGCCGGTGAACACTGGGAGGACATGGTCACCCGGCACAAGCTCGGTCACGCCCTCTCCGACGCTCTCGACGATGCTGCGGCAAAGAAGCTATTTGGTGAAAAGAGGTGCCAAAAAGGATAATCTATGAAGAGCAAACATGCTGAGGAGATTAACTGGTCCAAAACTATATGATTGTAAAGAGCAGTTTATGATGTGAACTTGTGTCATGGATGATGTTTCCCATGATGCTTCATAGTATGTTTAATCCCATTGGTAATAAAATATGGTCACTTGCTTTATGTAGGGTATGAATCTAATACCACTGACAGAGATCAGTACTCAGGATGACTACAATTAGAAGCCAGAGAGAATAAACTACGTATGATTTAGGATTCAAGATACCTCCAAGCAACAAAACTGAAACATAATAAGACAAGAAAGAGAGGATGAATATATACCCTCCAGCTTCATGGCCCAAGATCCTAGGGAAAACCGGAGTTTGACCCTGCACAAATCCAAGAAAATTTATTTAGCCACTGCCCCACTGATGCATCACAACAATTTACCCAACAGGAAAACACAAAACCGTGAGATACGTATACAGTAATTGTATGTGTGGATACCTTGGCTTCCCAGAAGTAGACGTCGGTGTGGCAAAGGGCGGTGTAGAGGATCTTGACGCGCACCTCCATGGCCTGCGGCGGCGCCACCTCCACCTCCTCGATCGACAGCGGCTTCCCGGCCTCCCATGCCACCGCCGGTGCAACCAAGCGCACAATTCAGATCTCCATCCGTCCACAAAAGATCGACCAAAAATCAGATGAAACCAACTGCATGCTACCCCAGAAACAAACCTTTGCACTTGATCACCTTCCCGGCAGTCGCCATCCCTGTCGCTAGTTGAAGAAGAGACACAAAGATGGATCTCTGTCGCTGTTTCTGCTTTGCGGTTCGTTGCTAGTAGATTTTGGTGAGGAACGAAGGCCGGGCTGAGACCTGTATATATACTGCTGGCGCTGGAGGAATCGGCGGGTAATTAAGGTGAGGCTTGGAGTGCAAGCGGGGAAAGAAGAAGAAGGTGTCCGGCTGTCTGCGGCTCTGCGCGCGTGTCCGCTGGTTTCGAAATTGGCCCCGTGTGGTATCTGGTATGTGGAAAACGTTGTGACGTGATCAATGGGCTACAGGTCGACGGTAGGCGAGGAGGAGTAAAAAACCAGCGCTGAGGCCGGAGAGGGCTGACTTGGTGACCAAAACCAGGGCGACTGAGAAAACCAACCACGAAAACAACAGCTCGGGTCCTCGTTTTGTAACGGTCCACGGGAGTCCCTATTCACGGCATTCTGCTGCATTTTTTTAGAGGTCCCTTTTCTTTGCGGGGGAAATAATTTGTACGTATTACTCAAACCAAACTAGAGAAATATGATGCAACTCTCAATGTATTGACGGATGCATATGCACAAGTATATATAGTACATAGGGCAAGTCATATCCTCAACTATACACAAGAAGGAGACTTGGAGTACAACACTACATGTGCTAAATACATATCTCAACACCCCCCACAGTCGAAGCGACACCGTTGTTGACGCAGAGACTGGATCGGAATTCCTCGAAAGACGTCGTAGGCAAGCCTTTGGTCATGATATCGGCAAACTGTTGGGAGATGGGAACGTGCAGAACACGAACATGGCTGTCGGCGTTCTGGGAACGGGGGTCCCCAGACTTGCCTGCCTGCGGCCTGCGGCGTGGCTCAAGCAATGGCCCAGTGCGGCCCATCTTCATCAACTCAAGCTCAAGACCCTCGCGAGGGGCCAAGCCTCGCGGGGCGGATGACAGGAAGCTTCCTTAGGAACAGCCTCGTCAGGCTGGCTCGCGAGGAGGCGGAGAGATCAAGGTAGGGGTACCTCGCGAGGTGCCCGTGACGCAAGCCATGACGATCGAGGCCAGGCGGGCGCCGGCCTGCGTAGTGTCCTAGTTTTCCCTTTGGTGCAAAGGGAGCAAGCACATGCCAAGGTATCAGGCAAAGGCTATCATTTCGGTGCAACAAGACCAAGACCAGCAGAGCGGCAGGATGGAGATCACCGTGGAGCCCAAGACGTCGTCATCATCAGAGTTTTTGGCAGGTGAGGACCAACTTTAGTCAGGATAAGTGTACTAGATGTTCCCCTTCAAAATGGCCAATTGTTGGCGCCCTTCCCGCTCAATATTTGGGAAGAGGACCAGGGCCTCACTCTCTATATATAGGGCTAGCCACCATAGTATAGAGGCAGCTGGAATCAACCCCTCCAAAGGGACAACACCACCGCAAGAACACCCCTCGCGAGGCTGTTCTTCTCTTGTATTGTTCATCATCAGTCCCTGAGGCAATCCACCACACCACAAACTAGAGTAGGGTATTACACCACAACGGTGGCCCGAACTAGTATAAACCTTGCGTCCCTTGTGTTGTTCATCGTGTAGTCTAGATTCCGAGCGAGGCTTCGAGACGTGAGTCAGTAGGGGAGAGATCTTCGCGTGCACCCCAGAGTTCGAACCTCAATGGTCTGCCGGTACCCGAAATCCGACATTTGACGCGCCAGGTAGGGGTGCGCCGGAATCCTTCTTCCACCGCCTCGCGCCCCATCGCTTCGTCGTTCTCATGTCCGACGACCCGACGGCCAACGCCGATCGCTGGGCGACGTGGCCCGCCCACGCCATGCTGCCCGCCTAGGGCGACCTCAACCTTGTACCCCAGGCAGCTCGCGCTCCGCAGGGCGCTGTGGGGCACGAGCGACGCGGCCAAGCGCCGCCTGCCCTCACGCCGCGGCAGGTGCGGTCAGCAGCGAGGGCCTCAAGCCACGCCGCGGCCACAACGCCGCACACCCGACGGGAGCAGGCGAACTCAAGGGCCGCGCTCACAATAGCCCGAGAACTGCTACGGTGCAGGCTGCTGGAGGGCGGCCACGACGTGCTGCTAGAGCGAGTGGCCGAGCTCCTGGGCTCCGCCGCCTCGAGAGCTCATCCCTTCTCCGTCCAGCTGCCACCCCAGATCCAGGGCGGGCCGTATGGTGGCCCCATACGTGTCCGCTCAACTCAGAGCGGATTCCAAGGCCTCCCCAACGCCAACCTGGCCGTCAGCACCGGGCGACAAGCAGTGGCGGCTCCACCTCCGGCCGACGAGGGAGCGCACGCTGCAGCCTACGGCCTCGGTGGGCCGCCGCGCTACCACCCCCAAGACAACGGTTCAAGCGGGACTGCGTGTCTTATGGGGCACTACAGCGAAGCCCTCGGGGCGGCGGCCCCAGAAGCCTATGTGCCCCACATGGTGGATAAAGATTGCGCGTTGGAAGAAGACTATGGCTCATCCCTCGGGCCAGGCTGGGGCGAGGAGGCGCCAGAAGCTGAGCTCTTTCGGGAATCCCAAGAGAGCCTCGACAACCGCGCTGGTGGCGGCAACTATCGGGTAACGCTAATTCCTCAGGAGCAAGCTTATGGTAACCATGGGTCGCAGGAGATACAGGTCGCCGCAACAGATGGCTGCCCCAATGCTGCAGCCTCCTACCCTCAGGAGGAGGGCACCGGGGGCTGCAGGAGAGGGGCCGAGACCCGGGATCGCCTCCGCGGCGCTCGGAGCAAGGCGTTCTCAGGAGGTAGGCCCTCTGCCTGGGAGGTGCCTCAGGGCCTGCCCCCGGCAGAGGACCCGTGGTCGTCGTGGGAACCGCTGGCGACCGCTTTATCCCATCGGCGTCATCCTTGGTCTCCGGCCGCCGTCGGTGGCGATAGAGTGTGGCGCAAGGCGGGGCCCTCGTCTGGCGATATGAAGTAAGGCCGGTACCTGTGAAGAAGGCCCAGTGCCTGTGAAGCTCGCCACCCGTGACACTCTCACGTAATAATGAGTGGGGCTGTACACGCCCTGGAGTCTTCGGAGAGCCGCCCTCGGGCCTCGGGGGGCTCCCGCCCACTACCAGTGGCAGCACTTAGCTCCGCGCTGGTGAGAAGATGTCGAAGACTAGACTAGGTGCCGGACACGGGTTTTTTGCTTTTTACCTTTTTCTCTATTGTCAAGTTTCTTCGATTTGAATTTAAGTTGGATTCGAGCTTGAGACTTGCGTGTGTTCGGGGAAGGGGTGTTTAGTCTCGTTCGAGCAATCTCTCACGTTTTGGTTTCAGCTTTGCGTCCAAAGTTAGTGTCAGCTGCCTCCCCTCGCGACCCCCTCGCGAGCCGGGCCGGGCCAGGCACGTCTACCATCCGGACCGCTGTCGCCGCACCCTCTCAGGAGGTTCTCATCGCAGGATCAATGGGTTCACCCTGAAGACACTCAAGGCAGTGCGACCCACGCATGCTCGCTCGGGACCCGTCCGGGCCAAAGGTAAACAAGTCAGCTGGCCCACCGCGGGACAGGTGGCTCAGCACACATGCGGCGTTATGTCTACAAGTGCACTAGCTGCAAACCTTTACACGAGGGGCTCCCCCTCCCAACATGCTCTGACAACCTTCAGGGCCGAGCCCGAACTCTTTCCGTGCAGGGTAAACAACGGAGGTGACACGCGATCAATCAGACAAATCTCCCAATTCATCTTTGGGAGCGCCTCCGGAGGCATCACTGGCGTCACTGGCCTCACCATCACCCACGTCATCGCCGTCATCCGCATCATGCTCGTTCACAACGCCGCCTTCATCGGCGGCCACAACCACGCCGTCGTCATCAGTGGCGAAGGCCCTAACGAGGGCGTCCACGTTGTCCTCCACCCACTGCGCCAGATCGCCCCGGATGGCTACGGGCACCGGTGCGATGGTGACATCAAAGTCGAAATGGGGGTCCCTGTCCTGAAGATAACTGAAGACGCAGGAGAAAACACGTCCAAGCAGGGCTCGGCTCCTCTCCTCAACAAGCCCGTGGGCCCTGTCAGAATGGGTCTCCAGCTGCGTCACCACATCTGTGAAGAACCGGAGGTTGCCAGCGTAGTTGATTACACGAGGCTCCGCAATAGCCGCCTCGCAGATGTTGCCCAGGGCCACATTGTCCCTTTCACTAAGTGTTCCAGAGTTTGCCGCTGACGGATCTCGTCCTCATTCCGCCGCGCAACGGCCTCGGCGCCATCGACCCTCTGTTGGAGAAGAAGCAGCTCAGTGCGGGAAGAAGCCAACTCCGCCTGCGCTGCACCGAGGGCAGCCGCGGAGGAATCCGCAGGCCGCGTCACTTCAGTCAGCTTGGCCTTGAGGGCAGCGGTCCTGCCTTCAGCTTCGGCCCTGATCAGCCCCAACCTCCTCTCGTACTCCCGCTCAAGATTCAAGCGAGCTCCCGCCATGCAACGGTCGACTTCTTCTTGGACACGGGCCTCCCTCGCGTCAACTTCGTCCTCCGCCTGGGTCACCAGGCGCTCCCTCGTCTCCAACCGCTCGAGGTCGAGGTTACGCTCGGCGGCCTCCAATGCCAGCACCTCCTCGCGCCTCAGGAGCTCCGCCTCGTCATCGGGTCCCCCCTTCAGCGACACAAGGGCCGCCTGGCGCAGCTCCACTTGCCGCTCCAGAGAGTTGCTCCAGGCCTGGAGCTCCCACGCGCGCTCCTCTGCAGCCTTGCGTTGTCGGTCTGCTTCCTGGGCCTCCTCGACGGCTTGGGAGCAGGCCTCCCGCGAGGCCACCAGAAACGCTTCAGCCTTCGCGTTTTCAAGATCACATTGGTGGCGCGCAAGGCTGACGGCCACCTTCAGCTTGCACCTCTTATCGGCAAGGCACAGGCCTTCGGCCTTGAGGTGTGCATCCTCGCCAGCGAGCTCTACCCCGAGCTGATTCACCGCGTCCGCCGCCTTCTGAAGGAACTCTCGACGAAGGGCACTGCGCTCCCGAGCGCGCCTAAGCACGTCTTCCGCGTCATCCTTCGCCCCTGGCGCATGAGGAGGGCCATGAG